GCGATCCCCCCTGCCGGTGTCATCCATAACACTGGTGCCGAAGAGACCGTGCCACGCTTAGCGTTTCTATTTACTGGTCAAGGAAGTCAACGACTAGGGATGGGAAAGGCGTTGTATAACACATATCCGTCTTTCCGCAAAGCTTTAGACGAAACTGTAGCTCATTTCACCGAATTGGAAGTACCACTCCTCGACGTGATGTGGGCTCCGCCAGGAGATAAGGCTGCCGCATTGTTGACTCGAACCGATTTCGCTCAATCCGCCATATTCTCTTTGGAGGTTGCGCTTTTCCGGCTTTGGCAAAGTTGGGGGGTTCAACCAGACACAGTGGTCGGTCACAGTATTGGAGAGATAGCAGCTGCCCACGTTGCAGGTGTTCTAAGCCTACCTGACGCCTGCAAACTCGTGAGCGCGCGGGGCCGTCTCATGAGAGACTTGGCATCTACTCGCTCCGGCGGGATGGGATCGCTCGAGGCTGACAGCCAAGAAGTCGCCATGGCCATCTCTACACTCGGCCTTACTGGTAGCGTCGAAATCGCAGGCCTTAACACCCCGAGACAGACTGTAGTATCTGGCGATGCCGATGCTGTTGCGAAGATGATAGACCATTTCTCTCAGAAACTTAGCCGCAAAGTAAAGGCTCTCGACGTGGCACAAGCATTCCACTCATTCCACATGGACGGCATGCTTGAGGCGTTCCGCGCTGTAGCTAAAACTCTCCAGTACAATGCGCCAAAGCTGCGTGTCGTCAGTAGCGTGTCAGGGCAGTTGGCTGAGCCAGGCCAGCTCGAATCACCTGACTACTGGGTTCAGCAGATCCGGCAGCCAGTGCGATTTGCTGACTGTATTCACACCCTATATGATCAACAGGAAATTAACATGTTTCTCGAATTAGGCCCGCAGCCGGTCCTATTGGGTATGGCCGCCGCTTGCATCACTTTGAGTGGAAAGGAAAGCATGACTGGACCACCCTCCTTTCTGCCCTCGCTCAATACAGGCAAACATCAAGATACAACAGTCATACAACGCACTCTGGCAGAGCTCCATGTCAGACACGTGAAGGTTGACTGGCTCCAGTACTTCCATCCATTTAGCTGCCACAAGGTAGAAATGCCCACTTATGCTTTTCAGAGACAGAGATATAACTGGTCCGATATGCCGAGCGTGAAGCATTCTAGTTGTAATGGCGTTGCTAAACCAGAGAACAGTCTTCTGAGTAATGGAGATATTGTTGAAGGTAACGAGGGTGATCTAGAGTTCGAAATCAATTGGCATCACGTCCAAAAGGAGAGAGCCCAGACTTCATGCGGAGGCTCTTGGGGTCTATGGTATCCAGGTGGTTCAATATCGTGGGCGTCGGAAGCCTCAAGGGCCTTATTGCAGTCTGGAATTCGTTTGACCCAGGTCGATCAAATTCAACAGGCGGAACACCTAGACGGTGTCATTTGCATGTGGGACGATCCATTCGATGCTGATGTCCCATCTCTTGCCTTGAACTTCGCTTCAGAAGCGCTAACGCAACTCCAAACTGCTGCTGCATCAAACTTTGCGCAGCCTATAGTTTGGGTTACACGTCAATCGGTAGGCACTCACATCGTGGATAATAGTGCAAACGGTACCGGTAGTAACGGTCTTGTCAACGGTGATCACGCCAGCCATGACAACGAAAGGACACGAGGCATGGCTGCTGCACCACTGTGGGGGTTGATGCGCACTGCTCGCAGCGAGCATCCAGAATTGCAGCTTCGACTGATCGATCTAGATCTCAAGAGTGATACATTCGCAACATTTGCCACCGCTTTAATGATATCTTCTGAAGAGCCTGAATGCGCAGTGCGAAACGGTCAAGTTGTCGTCCCACGGTTACAACAGTCAATGGCCTCTGGAGGCTCTCCCGAGCTGAAGAAGCCTATCGTTTCCAGCGATGGGGCTGTGTTGATCACCGGTGGGCTTGGAGGTATCGGAAAGCAGATAGCAAAGTGGCTGGCGAACACTCACAGCGTCCGCAGTTTTGTGTTAACCTCACGACGTGGTCTAGCTACTCCTGGTGCCGAAGCTATTATCGGCGAGCTAGAAGAGCTGGGCGCTACGGTCACTGTAGCTGCTTGCGATGTCGCCGATTTCAATAGCATGCGCCAGGTCCTATCAATGTTTGATCAAGGGCAACGTCCTCTGCGTGGTGTGGTCCACGCCGCAGGCATCGTCGATAATGGTGTTCTCTCCACCATGAACCCTCAACGATGTGCTACAGTCTTCGCGCCCAAGGTGGCTGGTGCCTGGAATCTGCATCAGCTCACGCAGGATATGGACTTAGATTTCTTCATCATGTTCTCGTCAATATCAGGTGTCCTCGGTAGTTTAGGTCTAGGGAACTACGCTGCTGCGAATACGTTTCTCGACGCGCTTGCTGACCTTCGTCGGACGCATCATCTGCCTGCAAGTTCCGTGGCGTGGGGAATTTGGGAAGGCGATGGGATGGCTACCGGCCTGACCGGAAGGACCACGCTAAATCATCTTGACAAGTTCGGACTTGGCCAACTCAAACCTGCAGAAGGACTTCAACTGTGTGAGAGGGCTGTGAATAGTGGTCGTACCCTTACGGTGGCAGCGGCGCTCAATTTGAAGCGGCTTCAACAATATTTCACGGAGGAAGAGGGTGAGGATGGCGCCATTCCCCCGTTTTACCGCAGTTTGTTCCAAAACCAAAAACCGGACAAAAATAATAAATACAGCCAATCTCAAAAAACCGCCCGCAATAAGAGTCTGCGGGAAGTGTTAGCCAGATCTGATCCGGCTCAGCATGCTGTAATCGTGCTAAGTATGGTTCGAGAGACTGTAGCCAAAGCCTTGGGTTTCATGTCGGCAGATGAGGTCGATGTGAATGTACCGCTGAAGGACATCGGATTCGACTCCTTGACGGCAGTTTTGATACGAAACCAACTGGCAAGCCTTACTTCCCTTAGAACCTTGTCAGCCGGAAGCATAACCTGGAAGTATCCGAACCTGAGGGCATTGAGCCAATTCTTGCTTGCGGAGCTTCAACGTCAGCCACAAACTAGCGACAATAGCGCGGTCAGATCGGAAAGTAATGTGGCTGATACTACTGCGCCTCCTCCTAAAACTACCCCTATGATAGATACAACAACAATCGGGAAAGGTTGTCTCGATCCCGCCTTTACATTTGGAAAGATTACCGAGGTTTCAAAACCGCGTTCGGTCTTCCTCACTGGAGCCACGGGTTTTGTTGGTGCTTTCATTCTTCACGAGGTACTTGAGCAAAGTGTTACAGCTTACTGTCTTCTACGCGCCAGGAGTACCGAACATGGAAGAGAACGGCTGATAACCGCACTTGATAGCTACGGCCTCTGGAAACCTGATTATGCGTTGCTACTAAATCCAATTGTGGGAGATGCCGGGAAGGCATATTTCGGGCTTTCAGAGCAGGGATTCAATGAACTCGCGAACAATGTCGATGCTATATGTCACGCTAGCGCCCTTGTCGACTGGATGCGACCCCTAAGCGACTACATTGGTCCCAATGTTGTCAGTGCCCATGAGGTTTTACGCCTGGCCTCGTCTGGCCGTGAGAAAGCGGTCCATGTTATATCGACTCTGGCAACTCTACCGATGCATCTTGGTTACAATGTGCCGGAAGATGATCGAGAATATGGATACTCTACTTCTAAATACATGGTCGAGAAAATGGTTGCAGCAGCTCGTTGGCGTGGCGCTAAAGCCTCGGTCTACCGTGTGCCATTTGTGACTGCCTCAACGCTAGGCCGATTCCGCCTAGACCGAGGTGATTTCCTGCATAATCTGATCGCTGGGAGCATGGAGTTAGGTTATTACCCTTCTTTAGATGCCGATTTCTCGGTAGTGCAACCGGTGGATTATCTCAGCAAGACCATCACGTCCATCATGTTCGATGATCGGAGCCGTATTGGCCAAGACTTCGATTTTGTTAACAAATACGCAGCACGGGCTGACTACTTCTTCCAGTTGATGGACGTTGTCAGTGGCGGCCAGGGGCAGAATCTCCTTCCCTTCTTGGAGTGGAAACAGCGGGCAATGGACTACGCCGCGGAACATTCTAGAAGTTCACTAGCTCGCATTTCAACTATAGTCGAAGGTCTCGCCGACGAAGCCGCCGCAGCCATGATGCTAACTGGCCTTCCCACCGGATCGCACGTGCTTGGAGGTGATGTGTATCCTGCTCCTGAGGTTAATGAGCAGCTCGTACGCAATTATTGGCTTCAAATTAATGCCGTAGGAAACAAGGCTACAAACTCGGTGGGGAAAATTGGGATCCTTACGAGCACGAATGGGGTGAGAGAAAAACAATCCAGTGTGCTGCTACGAGATGAATCGAGACGACTGATCACAAGGCCACTTGTTGAGGGGATATGAGTCTAGTGTCACTCAATGTACATAAGACTAATCGCTGGATGTACTTTTAAGACTTGGGTTTACCAGGCTCCAGCTAAAAGAGACAGTACTGGATTATGTTGTATCTATATCCCTTTTTCTTCCGTGATACCTTTATTCCCTGCAAGTCTGTTTAGCAGCAAGCGGCTGAGCCCTTTCCCCTCGCCTCACCGATACCACTTCGGTTAGCCATTCAGGGCAGAGAGGAACAGAACGTGCTGGTGCTAGACACGAGGGTAGGCCATTAGATTTATCATCCGGAAATGAAGAAGTCGATAGATTTAGTAATTTGACCAGGGTTTATTCCCTAGGCTCTTGAATGCGATATGGCAAGCTGCGCAGGCTATTTGCCAAGTCCGCGCCCAACTTGAAAATATGGCCAACATGTCTAACAAACGAGGCAAAAAACCCGCAAATACAAGACACTATGAAAAATAACATGTTCACACACTCACTCACCCCACTCACCCCACTCACCCCACATACTTACCTCACTCACCTCACTTACTTACCCCACTCACTCACTCATTTGTTAAAAGTTATAGAATAATTCAAAGGCCGGAAATCAAAAATGATGGACACACGGGGAATTGAACCCCGGACCCTTCGCAGGCATTTCCCTGAAAGTTTCAGGATGCAAAGCGAATATCATACCTCTAGACCATGCGCCCAATTCTCCCATTCTCAGGTAGATGTTGGGAAGGTGCAGGTGGAGTAGTTATAATACCCCTCGCAGGTCGTGCCTGCCAATTACCTCGAGTATTCATTCTACCGTACACATTGATAGCCTAATAACAAGTCCAACAAGTGAAGAACATGAGTGTGGTAAGAATGAAGCTGTACTATGCTACATAGTATAAATCTATTCAGCTAAACGCTCCCATTTGATCCCTTCCTAAGTATTGCTGGTTCTCAATGAGAGAAGAAGCCTGAATAATCGCTCAATTCATAGCCTTTCATCGCACTCGTTGAGAAAATAAGTTTACAGCAGCCGGCCTGCATGTATAGCAACAAGCGATTACATGCGTCTTAAATTAATCCTTCCTAAGTATACTCATCGAAGGCTTCATTTCACGACTTTTCATCAGCGCATATCCATACAGATGGAGATAGCAAGAGCAGATAGGTCAAGGGAGATATCGCTGACCTATCCACGTCTTCCACTATTCAATGTGGCGTGCGTATCCGAGCAACTTAGATATCAGGGCTATTATTTGCATGCGAAACAAGCCATATTTTCCCTTTTTCCATACTTCGCAAAGGGGCATTTATTTCCTAGTAAGAATTCTGATCTAGCAGCTAAACGCAGCAACCACAAGCCCTTCTTCCTCTAACCCACCCTCTCATCAGACGGTTCACAGGCTTCATCACCATTTTATTCAACAACCTTGCGCTGAGCAAGATTGTACCTATCGCCTGCCCTAAGGAAGTAAAACAGCTGATCCTTAGGCGGCAGGTTCTTCTCCGCGCTGCCCTCACGACTCCAGAACCCACCATCGTAAAAGGCGCAGTAGCTCGCCCCGATGACGTGCGCGTCGTCGCCCTCGACGACGAGCGCCGTGTTCTCATCGCACCCGAAGCCCAGCAGCTCCGGCCGCACCTTGAGGATGTCGAACATGTCGAAGATGCGGCCGCGCACGAGCACGTGCTGGTCGATGGCCACGCCGCGCAGGTACCCGAAGCCGACGATGTGGTCGCCCACGAGGATCTGGTTCGTCGCCGTGTCGCCGCGCGCGAGGAAGCTGCCCTGGATGCTCGCGCCCGCCGAGCTGCCGCCGATGACGCCGCCCCGGTCCAGCACGGCCTGGAACGCCGCCTCGGTCTTGGTGCCTGCGTAGGCGTCCACGAGACGCCACTGCCTGCCGCCGCCGAACCAGACCGCTGAGGCGTTGCGCAGCGGCGCGACGAAGGCGTCTGTGTCCGCTACCTTCGGGTCGTAGGTGTGCAGGACCGTGACGCTCGAGGCACCGAGCCGTCTAAATTCTGGGGCGCTTGCGGCGTTCTGATCATACGTTGGCGCCCCATCCGCCGTGGGGATCACCACGATCGGACCCCCGCGCGCCCTTGTGATAACTTCTTGGTAAATGGAGTCGCTGAGAGTCCCCCCACCAACAACCACCAAGGATCCATTCACCGGGCCGACAATGGGCTCCTGTGCCCCTGCCATTATGAACTGAGAAGTGAGGAGGAGGAGAGAGGGAACGGTTGGCGCTGAGAAACGCATGATGGGCTTTTACGAGATTGTAGGCTGTGCGAAGATACAAGCTATATATGTGCACCAGTCGTAGCGCGATTAGAAATCAGATGTCTTGAACCTTGCACTTCCAAACTCTCATGGAAGGCGGCTTGGTACATTGATGCGATACGCAAAGTTGTAAGTGTCTGGGAAAGAATTTCACTCATTTTGTTAGGGCCCTTTAGGATCTGAGCTTCGTTCTTATACCTTTCTTCACCTACGACGAATAATTGCAAATCAATTACAGTACAACCCAACGAATCCGGGTATATAGTAAATTGTGCCAAATAGCATCATCAGCGCAGACGGTAGTCCAACGAATATGATTCGGCAGTAGTGGCAAGCCCCGATTTCCCTGCAAGGCAGGTGGTGTCGGTGCAGAGGAGGAATTGCTTGCCGTGCATCTCGGCGTGGGTTCATGTACGGTTCAGATAGGCGGTTCGGATCTGCAATACTTCCCTGAGCTCTCCAAAGGTGATGATTATATGCTTGTATGTGAATATTGCGTGATGCGATCGAGACGGTTCGCTGCAAGTTAGATCTTGGCAATGACCAAGTGGGTAGATGATCCGTTGTCCAAGCTAATGAAATACAACACTTTGACTTGAATTGGGAATGCCACCTCGAGTAGAGAAATTTTCGGTAAGTCATCTGCTGCATTCTTTCCGGCCGCTATGAGGCCGTCCGTTCAAATCATCGAACGTTTGTAGAATCTGCTGGGTAGCGAATCGGAGCCCGGCAAATGACGCTTAACTAAATAGCTTTACGCAACTAGTTAAACTCGTCAATGGCCTCCATTGTATAGTTTGGATGAAAGCCGTGGGTTGAGACGATGGGCTTAGGCAACGTAAGAGCCATATAAGATCGGATGAACAATAAGCAAAGCCCTAGCTACAGGACTCTTCCCCTCGCGCAAGGCAGATTCACTTCTTGAATGATTGAAAACTTCATTGAGATCAAGTCGGGACGATTAGAGAACATCGGTAGAGAAAGTTACGCCGTAGGGAACAAAGGTGCGTCTGGTCACAATTGTGATGGCGCTCTCACGAGAGACACCAATGCCAATAATAGCCACAACTCATCAAAACGATAACGCAATGGTCAGGGCATTCCCGGGGCTTGGATGATGGTGTCGTATATACACAGGGTTGCTTTCATTCATTGTCTGTGCAAGGGTTCTCGTGGTAAAAACAGCTTCATTAAATTGGTGGCTCTCATCGTTTCTTTCCCATAAAAGAACCTTCGAAGCCAGCTCGACCCTTAGCCTTCTTGATACCCTTCTTCTTGCCAGCTTTACCGAGCAGTTTCTCGTTTCGTCGCTGTCTAATGTTCTCTTCCCTTTTCTTTTGACGATCCTTAATGCTCTTTTCGACGCCTTCCTTTCTCGCCGCCCACTCCTTGGTACTTTTCTTCTTGCTACTTTCCTTCCGTTTGACGGCTTTTTTCAGCAGCTTTTCGTCGTCCTTGATCTTTTCTCCCTCGGCTCGTCGCCTGGCAGTGAGCCAAGCCTCCTTCTCTTCAATGTCCTTGCGCTTTTCCTCATCCATTGCCTCGAGTCGTTTCTTCTGATTCTCAAATTTTAGAAGTGCCGTCTTAGGATCTGACGGGCCCTTCTTGGGTGTTTTATTGAGAACGTGGGTCAGGTCGTGAGACAATTGGGAGCCATCGCCAAACCCGACACGGCCAAAGGCAAAGTTATGTTGTTCTTCGAGATCGATACTGGGGCTAAGGATACCACCGGGAGATTCACGTGCCGAGGCTAGTGCCTCCTCACGTTTTCGCTCTTCTTCCAGCTTAGCTTGCCGTCTAAGCTCCTTCTTATGGGCCTTGCGTTCTGCTTGCTTTTGACGACGAGATTCTAACAACTCTTCTCGCGTGCGGATTGGTTTGCCGTCCCTATCAGCTTTCCGGGCATCGCGGAGGGCCTGGATTCTGGCAGCTAACCGCGCACGTAGCTCAGCACTGTCTTCTGGTATCTTTTTGTGTTTTGGTCTCTCGGATGTTGGGTCGGCAGAGGAAACGGAAGTTGTAACACTGGGGGCTTGCCCCGTGGAATCGGCGGGCGTCCCATGCACGTCGAAGACGGGAGACTGTGGGGTATCGGTTGGCGACGTCGCGGCTTCGGAGTCACGAGATTCATCTGTGTCCGCAGGAAGTTTCGACATATGCTCATCTGCTTCGGCCTCGTCCTCTCCGTTTGCCTCAAAACCCTCCTCCATAGTGTCGGGCTGTGATGCATCGCCGTTTGGTATCGTGTTCGATCTGTCTTCTCGCTTACCGAGTTTGATCTTGTTGACACCCTTGACAGTTCTCCGGTTGAATTCGGCTTCCTCGTCTCGCAGGCGTTGTCGCTCTGCCTTCCGTTCCTTGCGTGCAGCCTTCTTCTCTTCCTTTTTCCTCTCTTTCTCGTTCAGCTCGGCTTCCTCGGCCTCCTGCTTCTGTTTCTTTTTCAATTCCTTGGCAGTCTTTTTCTTCATGCCTTGGCGGGGCTTTTCTGTCTCTATGCCCTCAATTTCCGACCAGTCGTCGTCGCCATCTTGCATCTGATCGTGTTTCCGCTTCTTTCTAGCTTGCTCATCCATGACTTCTTTGGCACTTCGGTTCAATGCGCTGTCGGGATCGAGTTTATTCCGCCTCGCCTCGGCAGCCTGCGCCTTGGTCTGCTTTTTCCGTTGCCACTGGTCCTGTAGGTGGAGATATAGACTGAGTGAGTGATTGGGTTTGCGTGGCAGCAAGCACAAGGATAATCCCGAACAACAAGAACAAGAACAAGAACAAGTGAAGAGAGACAGCAGCTAGTAGTCAAAAGGGTGTAGAGGGACGATTGACATACGCTTGCATCTTCGCCATAGTACATCTTGGCGGGGATGAGGGACAGTAAGCCATCGAAGGCCTTCTGGGAGTTGAGGAGGCGCTCCTGTAACGGGATATGTTGGTTACTGACTGATCTCCACAACCAATATCGCACCGCCCTGGCGAGCAGCCTGACAGTGACGAGGTGGGAGCTTGTAGGCACGAACCTTGAGCGACGAGTCCTCCATTGTGGGCACGTGCGGCACAGCAGACAGACGTAAATCAAGCAACGAGGGGATCCCTGGATACGACGTGACACCAGGCCGGCGTGTGCTATCCTGTTGACCGTTGCTTGTTACTTTTCTAGTGCCGGCAAGGGAGCGATTTGAGCACACTCTACACTACAGCTGCCCGTACTGTACATAGACCGGGTCGGGGACGGAGGGTTGAATGAATCAATGATATGTAGTAAAATGTTAACAGGGAGCCAGGAAAAAAAAGTTCAGAGCCAACCATGCGGCAAGGCGGCTAAGTGGGCTGGGCTGGTGGAGGATGGCGACGCTTGATTGGCGTGTGCGATGGTAGGAAGACTGAATTTTTGGTGGCGCGCCATGAATTTTAGTGCGGAGCAAGATCGCTTTA